GGAAACGACGGCCAAGTTTTGAAAGAGGAAGACCGCAACCCCGAGGCTTTGCCGCCACCAAAAAACAAGAAGGAGGCGTTTTTGAGGTTCTGGGCTGGACACAAATGATGACAATGCGCCTGTAGGGATTCTCATAACTGAGGCCAATGAGACTGTATGGAAGCCACCCCGAATTTTATTCTTCCGCCCATGAAAGCACAATTCAATACTTCAGATATTCAACCAGATGTTGAAAAGCTGCTTCCCTCTTTGCTCCAGTACTTGGGCCGTTGGAACCCCTGTTATTTGCGCTGATTCCCGAACCCTTGTCAATGTAAGCACGGATAGAATACCAACGCCAAGTCGCAGACTCTTGCTTCTAGAACATCGGTCTGACACAATCAGCTGCTCCTGTCTCTTGTCTGAAAAGGCCAAGCCTTAGCAATAGGTTGCCAAGGACAGAATGCGTGATCAGGAGGCCTGGGCAGATAGGGCAAGCTCATCTACAATCTGCACAGGCGTTGCAGTTGCCGCAGTTTCAAGCGTTGCCAACAGGGGCGGGTAAGACTTGACAGATAGACCTCTTCCGCCACTCTGGATTGAGTCTTTACTGGAGAGCCTTGATCATTGTCAACCAATCTCATCCAGCCGGTTCTCGCTTGTCCAACTCAAGCTTTCCAACATGGCGCAAATCCTTGCCCTCATTGGGTCGAAGGCAATTGTGGAGGGGCGCCTTCGCCCGACTAGATCGTTGTGCAACCGTCCACGTGCCTCCGAAGCTTTGGGGGCGTTCCAGCCGCCCGGCGCTAGCTGCTGTTGTGAGAATGCGCCCGTATCGATGCATAGTAATTGCTGTCCGCTTCACCAAGTCTGCCTAGCCGCCCTGGAATGAAGCGTTCCCAGGGCTGAATCGACTGTTGACCACGAGGCCAAGAGAACGGAAAACTCGCATGACGTGGCCCAGAATCTCGCAAAAGCCCAAGGAGATAAAGCTTGCTCAAGTCCAAAACCACAGCTTCCATCTCGCCTGGAATTTTCACGATAGAAGATCAACTAGAGAATGGCACGGTCCTCCAGACTGTAAATGTAAGATCAAGCACCTAGCCTGTCAAGAAAGTTGACGAGTTCTACCCCGCATTCCCCCACAATCACCCTTGATCTGGTTGCCACTCCATCGCTCTCGACCAGAAGAGCCTCGCGATGCCCTCTTTTTTCAAGAGGTCCTCCAAGGCCAAGGAGAAGGAGGCGGAGGAAGAAAAGGCCAAGGCGGACCGCCCAGCAACACCTCCCCCCGCCTACGGCACCGCACCGGACGAACCTCCGCCCTTCGAGGATCAGCCACCACCATTCGAAGCAAACGGCGGGCCCAATGGGAAGAGACCCTACACCGAGCAGGATGTCGCCAATCTAACCAGCGCCTTCAGCTCGCTACGACTAGGCACACAGAGAGATCCCGACGTGGACTCCTGCCTCGCGCACCTGAAGCTTCTCTATGCCATTGAGACGCTGAAGGAGGAAGTCGGGTACAGCGATGGTCTATGGGACTTGTGGGATTCGCGAGCCAGCCCTAAGGATGGTGATGAAGGCTCCAGCAAGGGAGGCGAGGAGCGCGTGAAGGAGATTCTGTCGGCGCTGCGCGAGAAGAGATGGGCTGTATATCTGGCGCGGGCGGCGGATCGTTATCAGACTTGGTGGAAGACGCTCTCGGGAGGTCGCCTGCGTGAAGCAGAGATGAAGGATTTCGAGACGTACTCCGACAAGTACTTGAAGTTTCCTGACGTGGGCGAAGACTTTCCCTGGACAGTGGATAATCTTCCACCACTCGGTAAGCGTTGCGTTTGACTCTGCTAAAGATTTGGCAGACATCTAACCGTGATCAGATGTCCTGATAATGTTCCATGCGCACATGCTGAATCCCAGAGCGTTTCTGGAGGACACTATGCGCTGGGATCTCCGCGATTTCTGGACGACGGGAATGCCGTGGGCCCAGGTCAATCAAGTCATTGACTCCAAGTTCAACTACGAGGTTTCTGATGTGGCCAAGTCGAACTGGGAAAGGGCAACAGGGAGAGCGTGGAACAACCTCGAAGAACCACTGGAGAAGGAAATCGAATGTCCTGCATGCAAGCAGACTACTCTTGTGCCATGGAGCACTTGCGGTTTGCCAGAGATGTACAAGGGTCAAGAGTACGTTCAATCATGGACGAGATTCCATTCGCACTCGTGGAGTTTGCTGACCCTTTTGTCAAAGGCGGCCAGGTTTGGTTGGAAAAGGATACGGCGATGGCGACTTCTCTCAACTGTGCACAGCAGGCTGCAACACCGTCATCACGCATCGTCTACTCTGCGTTGCCAAGATGATCAACGACGCGGAGCTTTATCTAAACGAAGGTGTCACTCTCCCGAGCACCGTCCTAGACCCAAAGGTCGGCATGCCAGTGGCCACCGAGGCAAAGCTCAGGGATGTCACGTACCCCAACAGACTGATTGGGCAGGGAATTTCTGAGCAGCTGCTACGACTCATCAGTCCCGGTCAAGCAAAGACGCCGACGATGAAGGATGTACGAGACTTGGTCTCTGCTGCTTTGTCTGATGATGACGCCTTTGCGAGAATACAGGGGGCAAGACCAGCCCCTTATGACAGGAGAGACGGGTCAGGTGGGAGAGTAATCACACGAACGGAACGCTTTCAGAGCAGCAAGATGATGTCGAGGTACTGGGAAAATGCGTCCATCTTCGCGCTCGACCTTGTTGGAGCGACGATGCGACAGGGGGTATTCATCGGCAAGATGTTCAACGTCAGTATCCTGACTGATACTCCCAGCCCCTGAGAGTGCTAACAAGAGTCCTCTGCAGATCGACTGGTTACACAGTCCCAGTGCGAGGGGTACCATGGATCGGCTTCTCCAAAAGTACCAACGCTTCATGCTCATCATGACCGAATATCCCATGTCTTTGACGGTGCCTACGCTGGATGTGGACCTTGCCTGGCATACTCACCAGTTGGCCCCGAGAGCGTACTACAAGTTTTCAACATACAACACCGCCATGAGTACCAGCAAGGAGGCCAAGTTCATTGACCATAATGACAAGATTGACGAAGACCAGCTGTCCAACTCGTTCGAGTTAACTAGCAAGACTTACTTGGAGAAGTTCAACGAGGTCTACTCAGAATGCACATGCTGGTACTGCGAAGGTTTGTTCAACGCTCCTCGGAGCCGCTTGATCCATCCCGTTTCATAACCAGGAACTCTTGCTAACGATGCTGAACAGCTGTACGCGCAAAGATCACAATCGACAGCTCCTCCGTCTTTGGCAAAAGCAAGCCACAAAAAGGTACGTTCAATGAACAGCACCCCTGCGCAAGGTCCAAAATACTGACACCCCTACCTCCAGCCATCGACAGCTTCGACAAAGCGACAGCCTCGCAGGTCTGCACTCCTTCCAACTCGGTCCATATCTCCGCCCACAACTCCGTCCGCACGGACGGATCTGCTACTTCCACCATAACGCATCGCCAGCTCCGCGCAGCTTGGAGGATGCGCCTCGATGACGCCTACGAGCGAGCAAAGAAGCGCGCAGCTAAACGAGGAAGGACGCTGCCACCGAAAGAGGAGTTCTACAACAATTGGGGCAAGACGCACCATAGAGACAGTCCCTACAACTATCCCGCGTACCTTATTGGAGGGGTCTATCCTGCTGGAAACCCTGGTGTCCTTCATGGGTCTTGGGCCGACTGCGCTCAGGGGCTTTGCGGCACGAATGATATCGCTGCTGGGGGATGTGGCGGTCCTGGTGGTTGTACCAATATGGGCGTAAGTCCTCTATCTTCATGCATCTCTCAAGCTGAGTGTCTAACATGGTGGTCCGATATCAGGGGTACTGGTCTGGAGCAAGTCGCCAAGTCGGCGGTAAGTATTTCTTCATTCTCGTCTGTCTTCTTCTTTATAAGCTCTAACGTCTCTCTATTGATAGGCTGCGCTCATGGAGCAGGAATAGTGGGCATGGGTTCGGGAGGATGCGGCGGCGGTGGCGGTGGTGGTGGGTGTGGTGGTGGCGGCGGTTAAGCTAGATCTCACACGAAGTCAAGCTTCATTGTCTTGATCTACATTATCTCATTACTTACCATAGGTCAAGCCGTTATAGTAGCAATCTACTTAACTATATCTCACTAGTCGCCCTTCTCTGTGTAATGCTATTTATCAACATAACCGACGTTCGACCACGACAAGGAGAGCAGAGCAAACAACACAGCATAACTTTTAATAAAAACTATAAAAAAAGATTGATGGTCAATTGACCAGAGGGTATTTCCAAATATTCATCAGGCACGTAGTACCGAAACCGGATCTCAAACGCCCGCAGCATCTAAGGCTTTGGGCACAAGAAACCACTGCCAAAGGGCGCACTTTGGTCAAGTCTTACCCTGTCTTAAATACGTCCAGTGGTTTCGGTAGTTTTTGCGCGGCGACCGAGAATCGAACTGGGTAGTATCGATTTCTGTTGGACAGATAGCTGAGAGAGTCACCTCTCAACCACCCGGCCGCCCTGATGGAAGAACGAGAGCCTTTGTGCAATGAAGTAGGCCCTGTGGGCATCAGGAGCTGAAGGGAAGGCGCCAGGGTGAAAGGGGTGGATTTAATGTGAAGTGAATCACTTCTTTTTCTCACTGCTGGCGCGTGGCGGGCGGTGAGACGCGAGATGGTTTGTTGACGCGTGCCTGCCTTCTGTGGTGATATCTCACTCTCACCGGCCTTCACCGAGCAACAAGCTGGATTTTTCACTTGTCGCACCCTCTGACTTTCCTTCACCATAACAAATTCAACATTGGAAAAGTCTTCTTTTCCATCTTTGCTATTTCTCTCGCCCATCGTCGATCTTCGCTAGCCTTTGCGTATACTCCGACCCTTGATCCGACCTCTCATGGCAACCGATCCCGTCCTGTCATCTCTATACAGCGCAGGTTCAACCGTCTCATCTTTTCTCATCCTCAAATTAATAATCTTCTCAAAGCGATCACGATGTCTCAATCCCAGCTTCCCACCACTGAGTCCTTAGCTGGCCCCATAACAGAGCAGGCCAAGAAGGCAGACAAGGCGAAGGGCAAGACCAAGCCCAAGCCCAAGACCCTCAAGCGCGTCCTTCCGTCTGGCCCAGGCTTTCAAATGTACCAGAACGCCGCCGGTGAGGATATCAAGATCCTTGAGGATATGGACGAGGGCATGGCCTTCAAGAACGCGCTCCGCGCCGTCTCTCCCAACCTCGACAAGGAGGCCGTCGACCTCGCCATGGCCAAGCTCTTCCTCGAGGCCGACAGACTCTCTGGTCATCAAGCCCACATCACTGAGAGCATCCCGGGTCTCCTTCTTCTTGCCGCCAAGCAAACCGATTGGATCATTGCCGCCAAGAAAGAGATGAAGCCCACCGTCGCTGCCAAGGTCTTGATGGCCCTTTACGAGGGACGAAGAATCGCCGTTAAGTTCTCCCGCTACCGACAGCACCCGATCGAGGATTACGCAAAGGAGACGGCCACCGCCCTCGCTATCGACAAGTTCCGCAACGAGAAGCCCTGCGACGAGCCCGAGGAGATCTTTGCCGACTTCACCGATGAGCAGCGCAAGAAGATGATGGGCAAGATCATCCGACGTGAGAAGGCCGACTGGGATGGAGCGCACGTGGATGAGGATAGTGACACGGAGATGGGTTTGGACGACGCCAAGGACTTTGAGGAGGCGCAGAAAGCAGCCAAGGCGAAGCTTCAGGAGGCTCTCGAGCAGAAGATGAAGGAGCTCGGAATCGCGGGCACCGCTGGCTTCCTGGCTTAGATAAAGGATGAGGGCCCCTTTCTATCGTAAAGAAACCATCGGGATCAACAAGCAAGACCCATGTTTCCTCGTAATTTCCCTTGCCTAGGTAATTAGGTGAGAGTAAGCCAGAGGCCTCAGAAGAAGCACACTGGTAGGGGTGAAGTAGACGAGACCAGACCACAGATACTGGCGGCAAGCAGGTCTACTGAGATTGGGTAATCACTCTGGGAATTTCGGCTGCTTATCATAGCGGCGCAAATATTATGCCTACCGAGATCCCTTTCCTTTCTCAGGGTTCAGGGGTTCGAAATACTACCATTGAATTCCTCAAAGTAACACTACAACAAAGCAAGCGTCAATGAATCTTCTCCCTTATCCTACATTTCGCCCGTAATGAATCTCCTTTCCTCAATACTCTTTGCATTTAACACCTATAACAGCTACTTCTTCTTGCCTCCCTTCCCCTTTGATGCCGCCGCTGAAGCCGCATACAGTCTGTCTTGGACTGAATCAGTGTTCTTAATGAAGCTATCCAACTGAGGGGCTGGTGAAGGCTTGGGGGGTGCTGGTGTGCTTTGTTTCATGTAAGCCACTTAGCAGCAGGTCTATTTTTAAAGATGAACTTGCGAGCTGGGCATTTTGACTCGAGTCTCTAACAGACTTCGGTGTGGTGTTGAGGTTGAGGTTCAGATCTTGATGAGAAATAGCCAGCAGTTTGACCTTTGTTCAAAAGTATGTTATTCAAGTAGTAGATTATGGCTAGGGTCTTCGTCTCGGATCGCATTCGGCTTTGCTCTTCTCTCTAGCACTATCCATTTCCTCGTGGGACTTTGGCGGGTATTTATAATTACTAGAAATTGCATCCTCCGAGCCGAAAGACCAAGGTCTCTCAAGTTCTCTCCATAGCTTCTCATTTCTCATTTGATCTACAAGATGGCTTACGAACTAATTCCTAATCACTGATCAGCTGGACATCTTCAAGCTTCGTGTGTGATACCACCCCACGGCAACACAACCTCCCACCGTACGCTCAACTCCACTCTCCTGCGGCCGGAACAGGCCCAAACCGCCGAGCACGACCGGCCCCGTTCTGCCGCCTCCAACCGCCAGCTACACGGGGGTACGTAGCCAACCACGACGTCCCAGACCCCGGTCCTTGAGGCTCTGCTACTGTCTCCATGAGTTGGCGCGCCGCTCCATGTTCCCATCACTCTACCATCATCCCCCCGGCGGTTGGCTATTCTGCAGCTTCCCCCACCCCCTTCGTCCCGCCTAGTACATGATAGGCGTCATGGGCCGGCACGAGGACGGGCGGTAGACGGCTCGGGTGCAGATGCTCTTCGGCTAATGTCTTTCGCGACTACACAGTATCATCAGGCTCTCGCTCCTTTTCACTGCTTTCCAGGGTATCATCCGCTGCTCTTCCTTCTTCTGACCTCCTTGTCAGCTTGCCCATCCGAGTCTTATCTACTTGCTCCCTCTGCCCTCACTTTGAGTCTGACGCTATTCAGGGAGCCTACTCTCAGAGACACGTATGTAACCTCCTTGGACATCTGAAAATTGCGTGAGATGGTGCAACAAAAGCCCTGTATGTGGTGATGAACGACTAAAGTCGAAGGATATTTCATCACACTCTGAATTGGTATCACTGAGCATGTGTGCTTGGGCCTTGATTCATGGTTTCGGTGCAAAAACAACAGCAATTACTATGGCTGGATTACTGAGCGATGTCATCCGCTCCGCGGTCATCCCTTCAACATTTCATAGTCCCTTGCCCATGACCAGCAGATCTCAATCTCAAGGGCAGACAAAATAGGGTGACAGGTTCCAACTCCAAAACAAGAGGGTATCAGAAATTTCCACACACTTTCCCTAATTCCTGGTTTCAATAGGATCCATGCTGGGAGCGCGCCACGGAAGCTCCGACCTGTCGTGCTTACTATTTCGCACCTCCCATAGCGATGTACTCAGTCACGCTGGTATCGTTGATGTACACATCAAGCTGGGTTGTATCAGTTCCCCTATCAATAGTTCAGTCGACATTCTCTCAAGCCATGCCAAGTTGTCTTAATAGAATATGGAGGAGCATACTCAGGCATGATGGAAGAGAGGTGAGTCGAGAGTTGGTATCAAACTTGAGCGGTGGCTCGGCCACGGAAGTTTCGAAGTATCTTGAATGAGATTGGCAGTTTGTGTGTTTCAGGAAGCCCAGCTTCGGGGAAGTTTAGTGTGGTTTGCAGTGACACTATGTCTGTCGAGGTGGGAGACATCTCCTGTATTTATAACTTCACTTTCCGAGCAGCATCTCAAGACATATGGGTCACTATTGTCTCTTTTGGATCTGATTTGATATTCATCTACATGCAGTTCATCGGGCAGCATAGCATAGCTTACGAGCCAATTCCTAATCTATGGACCCGTTCATCTGCTCCCTCCACAAAGCACGCGTTACGTTCCACTCCCGGAGGGTATAGATGCTAGTTCACCCCCTCCCGCGGCCGCACCTGAGACCCTCAAGCCCGCAAGCGACCTCCTCCACATGCCGTTCCACCCGCCGCAAACCGCTACACGGTCCGTAAGGGAGAGGGATGGATCCATAAGATTGTCCAACCACACCGCTCGAGATCCCGTGAGCTTTGCGGCTCTGCGTATATGTCGTAGCTTGAAGACTGTCCTTCTATGCCTCGAAAAGTCGAATCCTTCTCTCGGCGCCGGAGTCCTGATTGGCTCATAGATACATCTTACCAGCCCTCTCCCACCCTTCGGATGAAGCTGCGATAGGCGTAGGTGCCACGGATAATCGATCGGATCATGGGAACATCAGAACGACGGAACTCGTGTAAGGGAAGACGGGAGAGGTGACCGACTATCCTTGCAACGATACCATAGTATCAGCCCTTCGACCTTCCTTGCACAGCAGTTTAGCGCCAAAATCCCTGGTCCCCCTCCATCTGCACTCTCTTTCTCTCTCTCCCTTTCTCTCACCTTGACTAAATGCCATGCCCCGGCGGGATATACTAATCTAGCATAGATCCGCTGTTGCTTCTATGGCCGACATGCATGTTACCTGCAGCCCACCAACAACGATTCCGAACCTTCCAATCAACGTGTCACATTCATGCAAGAAAGAGGGGTTCTCCAGGATAATTGTGTGCTTTTACTCTTCCTGCCATGGTTTTCTTTCCCATCAATTTTCAAGGGCACATACAGGGCGCCTGGTACGATGTGGTACCAGCCTGCGAGCCACTACCCGTTGCTGAGTATTATCCCTATAAGGTCGACTCTGTACGACACGAATTTCCTTCGGACAGGCTTGTCGAAGGAACGTGTTACCATGCAGTGCAGCTTGCGGAGGTGGGTGAGGTAAGTAAAGTAGGTGAACTTGGTGTTGGCTCGGCAAGTGCGAACTCGACATCGGCGAGCCGATGATCTGCGATGAAGAGTGACAGTTACCTCACCTACCTTCTGCAGGGATATGGTTGCTCCAGATGCCAAAGACAGCAGAAGACACGAAAAGATCAATGACTCCGGTTGAAGGACTGTTTTTAGACGTTTGATTCCAAAGGCCTAGATTCGATCGAAAGAACCGGTGTGACAATGCGTGATGAACGGCTGGTCAAAGACCCAATATGCGATCCATGATATACGATTGGGCGCAAACTAGGGTCGGCACTGCTTCTAGGGAGAATGTCTGCTTGGCTTACCGTCTCGAATTGACAGCCGGACGGAACTGTGATCAAATCATCAAAGGAGACGGCAGGACTCAACGTCATGATGGTATGATCTGCGTCCACGAGACCGAAGCCATCGAGGGAGATAGTCGCTTCCGATGCCACGTATGAAGAGGAGGGGAAAGAAAACCACAAGATAATCGCTGAATGGCGTTTCTTTGGCGACCACGAAGTGACGACAGACGGACGAGGATCAAGGATGAAGGGGAGGGCGCCAGCGAGCGCGCGAGCGCGTACGCGATGCAAGCTTAAGCGGTGACAGACTCTCGCGGTCTCCGAGGACAGAGCCTCAATGTTCGGGTACGAGACCAGTCATCGGAGTTGAAGGATGTTTACGCATAAACATTGCGTATATTGCGTGGGGGAGCATTGCTGACGGGCTTGACATTGGTTCAATGTGTGAGAGAACATAAACCAAGAATGAGCATCATGGGAAACACATGTCCTACCTTCCCCACGACTGGCAGATCTTTGTGCAAGACGCCAGTAAACTAGGTTTGAGCTTACCTTGAGCTTGTTCACAAGCACGGCTTAAGCGGAGTTACGCTATCAGATCATAGTATCTTGAGCCAATGATCGATCAACAGGCCATGTTGGGGAGGGTGGTGTAATATCACCGCCTTCTTGATAGGTAGGAGGGGGGAAGAAGAAGGATGGATGGCCAGGATGGAGGCCGCATCCACTGCGGCCCCTCTGGATGCGGCCCAAGAGACTAGAGAGCAAGGATCGTTCTGCAATCACCTTGGTTCCAACCGTCCCAGTATGCTTGCGCTGCTGGATGTGGGGTTGCGTGTCCTTCCGTTCGGGGCAAAGCACCTCTTTGAGGGTGAGGCTCTGCTGGGAGGCTCACCCTTTGGGCCGAGAGGTTTCTCGGGGAGGATCGCATCCCCCAGGTCCAGACGCCTTCAACACTCTCTCCCAGCCTAGATTTGCAGTGCAGAGGTGGTTCGCCTGGCAGGGCAGAGGAGGGTGTGGCCGCTGCCCTGACTCGAGAACTCCTGCAACGGGTGTCCCTGGATGCCTTATTTTCTGTACAATAACTAATACCCGTTTGCCGTCTACCATTTAGGATACATCAGATCTCATTCTTCTCATCGTTTGAAGCATTTTTTTAAGGTTTTGAACGGTGGTGTGTGGTGGTAGAATGCCAAAAAACCGCTGACCAGAGTCCTGGGTGAAGAGTGAGATGACTATGCGGGTGCAACACCACGAGTTGTTGTCTCTCTCTTCTGACATGTTCAGCGTCAGACCATAATCACACGATGCTAAAGCCAGTTTAGGTAACAT